GGGGGGGGGGGGGGGGCATGGACCTCACAACTTGATGTCAACCCTTGCGATGGCAGACCTTTGCATGCTGGCGTCCATTGCAATTGTGGTTTCAAGGCTTGATCGAAGCCCCCGGTTGGAATCTGGGAATTCGTTTTTTCATCGGAGTCTACTTTCTGCTCTTCTGCATCACCTGGCCCGATGAGCCGGATGATTTTCTCGAATCCATTCAGGTACGGCGTTTTCTCGCGCCGTCCAACGTTCATATTTATGATTTCTTCCCGTGCAACACGATGCACTTGACTCTTGTATACTTGTTATTACATGCTTAGGGCATTCAACTTGGTCTCTGTATCCTCTTTGGGCTTGACTTGGTGGTGCGCATGTTTGTGCGTGGCCTTGACTTTGAGGGCGGCTTTGTACTCTTTGGCATGCCTGTCTTTGCGATTGAGATTCTTTTGGTTTCAGGTGCGTTCAACATGCGACATGGTGCTTGGCGCAGACCGTTTGCATCAGTTCCCGGGCTTGTCAGTGGTAATAGGCGTCTTTCTCATCACATCGCCCCATTAGTATCTCTGCTGGAGCACATCTTGTTCTACACGGACACGTGTTCAACCGGCATTTGCGCGTAGGTGTTTTCTAACCGTTGCACAAACGATCGGCCAGAGTGATGTGGCTTGGCGTTTTGACTTTGAGGTTGATGGCATTCCCGTTCTTGTGCTGGTATTGCAGGGTTCTGGGCAGCACGGCACAGTTTGTCCGCATGCTGTACAAATCGCAGTCTTCGTTGGTGGCGCTCCAAGTGCTGGATGCTACGGGGCGCATGATCCTGAAGCTCGTCGTGTTAACCATGTTCTTCTCATACAGCTTTGCAGGTTTGCTTTTGCCGCTGTTTGCATTTTGTTACCTTGATACACTTGTTCAAGCTCAGGCGAAATGCATGCTTGGGTACAGTCTTGTTTTGGGAAATGTACCATGGAGTGGATTCCTTTGCTCCAGACTACTGCGCTGCCTTTGATGAAACGACAAACTGCGTGGTCGACAGCGGGCTCGGCAACTTTTCCGTCTTCAGCTGCTCCTGGCTCATCGTCTTTCAGGTGCGCCCAAGTCTAAATATTCTCTGACCGCATGCCTGGACGCTTGTATCTGATGTCCTGCATTCTGACCGGCTGGCTGCTTGAACACCATCTTCCATGGCCTTTTATTGTGGCGCCCACATTGCCTGAGTTAGATAATTTCAACGAGCAACTGGCACGAGCTGATGAATGAAGTTATGGCGCAGCGCAGTCGCTGGGACTCGCTCCTGTTTATTTTGTGGTACGCATTCAATCGAGTGGGGCAACGGTCTCAAGGCACGTGGGGCAGCAAATTTCTTAACTACTCTCACATTGTACACAAACGTGATGATATGACTCCACAGCTACTGTGCCAGTCAGTTTGTCATGGTTTCGCTGATGATTGGTACGGCCGTGGAGAACCTCTTCCGGTACACCAAGGCTCAAGCTGAATTGGTCAAGGTACGACATCGATCCATGCACGTAGTCACGGCTGTGCTTGGCCATCATCAACCTCGCTGTTTGGACAGCACTTACACCATTTTTTTGGGGTCTTAGAACGAGGCACCTCATGCCAAGCCAGAGTCAGTGACGAGTGTCATGCGAGGCAAGCGTCGGTTTTTGAGCAAGCTTGGTGGCAAGGTACAGAGCCGTCCGTGTTGAAGAATCGTTTCGACCCACACATGAATATGAGATTTCAAAAGGACGGGTGATGACCGTGCCCATTCTCATGAAATTTATCATATTGAATGCAGCGCGGTCTCCTGCGCGGCGGGAGTGCTGGTGCAGGTGACGGAGGCGGTGCTCCTGTGCCCACAATGCTTGCGTCAACGAAAAGTGAGGGTTCGGGAGCACAGGCCATCGGGACAGCCGTTGAGCAGCGGCGGCAACAACTGAGGGCCCGACAGGAGGCACGCAAGCAACGTAAAAAAGAGAATCGCAAGAAAAAATTGCCCACGCTTTGCGTAGCCATTGCACATGAAAAAGCACACGCAGCCGACGAGTTACCGCTAGTAAAGGTGAGACCTTTCTTTCATATTCCCGTTTGCAGACACGCTTTTAACCAAGAAGGCATGGCTCATCGCCGAGCCTCCACGTGCGCTCTTCAGGGTGATGTGGTCGAGATTCTCGAACACGACGAGGCCAACGATCGTTTTCGAGGCAAATGCGCGGGCTCGGCTGGATGGTTTGACGCCCGCTTCGTGATGATTGTATTGGACGACGCCATGATCAAAGACTTGCGTGCTTATGGAGCGCAGCAAGAGGAGGACTGGGTCTTGAATGTGCGTAGGGCCAAGGAACTCGATGGGCATTTGCTCAGCCTGTCCTGTCATCGCTATCGCTGACCCTCTGCTTTTTTTTTTTTTTTTTTTTTTTTTTTTTTTTTTTTTTTTACAGGATCGACGAAAGTCAGATGCCAATGCCGTCACCATGGACGCGGCCGGTGTCTCGGTCAAGGTGTGTAGTTGGTTATTGGGGAGTAGAAAAGAAACAAAATGGTGCACAATGCCGAGTTGGTTGGCTGAGCCGTGCCTTCAACGGCTTTGACACGCAGAATCAAGGATTTAGTCGAGCAGATATGGTGGCAGACAAGGTGACGGAAATGAATCCCGACGAGCTCTTTGAACTGAATCGCCTGGCCAACGCCAATATTTTTGCACGAGATGGACGCCGCAAGGTTGGTTGCAATGATTCAAAAGCCGACCTGCCGGCCATCGCATGCATGGGGCGCGCATTCTAATCTAAGGCTTGGCGTGCAGCGTGAGGGTCGCAAACAGGAGCTGGACTCGCAGCGTCAGGAGACAGAAGTGCGGGTGGCCCATCGGCTGCACCCATCGCGATCTGCCACCCGAGAGACCGAGCGTACCGGTGAGCAACCAAACACATTTGTTTAGACTTGTTTCAGCATTCCCATTTCATCGAGTGTCCGCTGTTGGCGTCACAAGAATATAGGACTCACTCTCTCACATTTGATGATTGTTCACACTCCCTCAATTCGCAGCAACACCGCGAACACTCTTGTCCGAAGCCATGAACAGCCGGCCTACTAGCACGTAGGTCGCGATAGTGGCCGCGGCATCGCTGTGCACAGATAATAGCATTTTTTTTCTCATGTCATGTACTCCCAATCCTTAGGACGCGCAGTGTCCAGAGTTTGCGAATTAGCGAGCCCCCACCTCCGTCGACGCCTACAACAGCCGCTATTGTGATTTCCTCGGCTGATGGTTGGTCATGTTGTGCTGTGAGGGAAACGTTGTGACTTGTTGAGGACGCAAGGGCTTGGCTAGACACGCGCTTAAGCTCCAAACAGTGTTGAACATCTACAGAATGGATGACGGTGCCAGGCCCTTTCTGCGTGGTGGATTTGTCTTATTGCTGCTGATCATCATGTGCTTGATGCTCATTTGTCGCGCAGGGGCAGACCCGGACGAGGATGAGCAAGACGAGAATCAGACGACATCTTCCCGTAAACGTGTTCAATTCCGGGCCAGTGTCAAGATGGAAGATGGGTCCGAGGCGGATCGACGCCGAGACGAGGAGCGAAATCGCATGGCGACCGAGGTTTGATGCGTCGTGTTGAATGCTGCGTGGGCAGGAAGTCGGGCCCACCTCGTTGGCTTCATACCTGCCTGTGACTTACACGGTCCAACTCAATTGTATTGTAGGGGACACCCTCGGCTTGGTTTACAAAGTTTGTGCAAGACAAGCAGGTGCAGATGGTTGAGGGTCATTTCAATGTGGTATGTAATATCAATCATTGCAGTTGCTACCCAGCGACTTTGGTAGGGGGGGCTTCCCTCATCGCTGTGATGGTTGGCGTAGGAGGACGTGAGCACTGGACGCAAGTCACCCAAGGCACGGCGGAGCACTGCCATCAGTCCAACTGAAGAGGATGATTTGCGCGCAGCCGCAGCGGCGGCCATGGCTTCAACCGAAAGCTCGACCAAGCCGTCGTCAGCTGGAGCGAATGTGTCAACTGGCCCCATTGCAGCCACCAATGGTGTGAAGCCCAGCGTTGTGTCTGACTTTGACCTGGAAGCAGCCATGGCGGCACAGCTTGCCATGTTGGGCGATGGTGATGATGAAGATGTCGCGGAAACTGCGGCCTAAGCCGGGCCTTTGCCATGATGCATCCAGCTGAGCTGGTCCCTCCATAGCAAGACGTTGAACCAATTTTGACAACAGCCGTCATGTAAATTTACATAACCCCTTCATCTTGTTATATACTTGAAAGTGTGTTTTTGAAATTTAATGCTGATGGCGACACCACATGCTGCTCGCCTCCAGCTCTCCAAAGCAATCTCTTCTGTCGCACGCGCTCACACACATGTCGTCGTTGTCGTCGTTGTCGTCGCCGTCGTTGTCGCCCCTCGGCTTCTTGTATGTTTGGCCGGCAGCCAGGAGGTGAACTGGAGGCCATGGCATGTGTGTACGTTGATCGGGAGCGGGTGCTTCTGGCGTTTGCCATTCCAGTGCTGGGGGGTTATGGGATGGAGGAGTGCGTGTAGGGGAAAGGCTGCTCCTACGCCGCCTTGATCAGCTCGTCCCCCCATATTGCCTGCCAGCTGTCACATGTGGTGGAACGCGTGGCTATGTATAGCACCAATGATCTCACAATGGAACAGTCAGGTCATGCCATGGTCTCCACCTTCGAAGCGATCCATCGTTGGCGTCGGCGTCGTCGTCGTCCTTGCCAGGCTGCCGTCCCACAAATTGTATCAAGGTCCTCAAGACCGTCCCAGAACAGAGAGAGCGTGAGCTATGAGAAGTAGAGTGAGAGAGAGGGTGAAACAGTCTGAGAGAATGAGAGAGGAGAGAGAAAGTTGTGTCGTGTATAGAGAAAGTGTGAAAACATGTCATCACGCAACAAGAGAAACCAACGCCTAACCAGAGAGACGAAAATTTCCCGGTCCTAAAACAGAGAAGAAGAGAAAAGTATTGCTCAAAGCTAGAGACAGAGACCGAGCGCTATACCAAAAACAGAGACACGCGTTGACAACGCGTGGTGATTGCTTTTTCTTCACCAAAGATCCAGATCGACACCTCGCAGCTCAACGCACGGTACGGTGTGTGTTCGGGAGGCCACGACCGAGCTGTTGGCCGACGGAGGGACGGTTCGATCGCCCGTTGGTGCGGGTGTTGTGAGTGGGCGGCGGGTTGGGTGACCCGGCCCCTGGTTGCCCGATTCCGACTCCTGCCCGCTTGGCAAAGATGAAGGCGTCTTCGACCGCCTTGGGTTTGGGCGTTCTGGCCCTGGCCTTTGTGGGTGCCAGCGCAGGCTCCTGCGACGGGACGTTGCTCTCTTACTGGGGCGATGAAGATGATAAGGACGCGGATTTCGCCCTCTTCTTCCTCTACCTGATCCTGATGCTGTACTTTTTCGGCGGCGTACGTTTTGCCGCCCAATCCTTCCCCCTCAAACGCCTTGATGGACACCAGGTTCGGTTTGTAACTTGCCTGGGCATCCCCTTGTGACATCCAGGTGGCCGTTACGGCCGACAAGTTTATGGAATCTATCGAGTACATTACCTCCAAGACACGCACCACCATTGATTCCCAAGGTCGCACCCACACGATTCGTGTTTGGAACGAAACGGTCCGTGCCCCCCTTTTTTTATCTTTCTTGTTGCAAGGAAAGACATGCATGGTATGCCCGCGTTCTCACTTGGGTTCATCATGACTGCTCTCCTAGGTGGCCAATCTCACCCTCATGGCCCTGGGCTCTTCAGCTCCGGAGGTATGTCCTTGTGTCTCGCAATGGGTGCACGAGCAACACGAGCATGAACATGCCCTCTCATTGCTTAATCCTGCTGGATCTCATGGCTCCCTTTGGTTGGCTCCTCGATAGATTATGCTCTCAATCATCGAGGTTGTGGGTCGAGGCTTTACCGCAGGCGATCTGGTTAGCACAGCCTGGCTTTCTTTGCCTCAGCTTTGTCTGCATGTCCTCATGTGGTCCTGCCAAGCGGCACCCGCGCAATTTCACACCCCTTCCTGCTTGGCTTTGTTTTCAGGGCCCAGGCACCATTGTTGGCTCGGCGGCCTTCAACATGCTGATGATCATTGCCTATTGCATGACATCGGAGCAACCCTTACGCGTCGAGGCCATCACCGTCCTGCATTTTACCGCCGGTGCCTCCATTTTTGCCTACATTTGGCTCTACATTATCGTGTCGGCCTCCTCACCGGGCGAGATTGAGATCTGGGAAGCCGCCCTTACCACCATCTTTTTCCCTCTCTTTGTCCTCGTGGCCTGGCTCTTTGACACTGGCCGCATCTCCACCGGTGCCCCCGACTGGATGCTTGATGTCCTGCCTCTCCAGCGTCAAGCCAAGCGCGAGTCACGACGCCTGGGCCAACACGTGCACGAACATCTAACCGAGGCGGATGGCATTCGTCTCGATCGCAAGGCCCAGCTGCGTTTGCGTCGCTACCTGCGCAAGCTTCGCCAAATCAACCCCAACGTCAACGAAGATATCCTCCTCCGCGAGGCCATTGATGCCATGCGCGGACACATTCAGCAGTCAGACACCCTGCGCCCGGGGGTCATTGATATGCCGGACAAGCCTGATGAGCGCAGCGGCCGTCATCTTGCCTCTGTGTACGCTGCCGATGGTGTCAGCGTGCACTCGCAGTCCCACGGCCCCATTCGTGGTCAGTTCTCTTTTGAGACCGACGAGTTCTACACCACCAACCGCGATGCCACCGTGCGCATCAAGGTGCGCCGCGCCACCTCTGAGGGAGAGCCACAGATTGAGCAGCCCGCCAGCATGCTGGTCAAGATCGTTCCAGGAACTGCAAAGCTTAACTTTCATTTTGCCGCTGCCTCTGGCTCTGGCAACTGCTTCAAAGTCAACTTCTCTGATAAGGGCCCCGAGGAGCACGAGGTGGAGCTTCGCATTCTTTCCCCCCCGACCTACCAGGGCACTGTTGCGTTTTCCCTGCAACTCGAGGCCATGGATGAGAAGCAAGCTCTCAATTACAAGCATCGCATCTGTCGCGTGGAAATTAGCGACAAGTTTCAGTTTACGTCTGTTTGGGCTCGCATCACCACTCTGTAAGTGAAGCTTTGTCCTGTCTGCTCGCAGTATCCACCTGCATCACAGCCTGTTGTGTCGTTTTTATATCATATTTACCTCGTCATATATTCACGTCCCTGGATGGTTGGACGTACAGTGTAAGTTGGTTTTTCAGGGCTATTTTCGCCGATGAGATGGTGGAGCACAATTGGGTCGAGCAGATTCGTGCGGCCATTCGAGGAGATGATGGTGACGAGGACGCCAACAAGCTTGTGGAAAACCACTTGAACTCAAACACTGGAGACCGTCATCTGCAGCAGACGCGCCTCGAGCTATTGTCCTCCGAGCCGGAGTCGCGGGAGCTAGAGATTGTTCCGGGACACGCTCCCGTGGCCGAGCACCGTGCTGGAGGACTGGCGCCAAACATGGTAGTTACGGAGGAGGATGGGCGTCAAGTTAACCCGCCGGACATTTCCTTCCATGTTCCGGAAAAGACCAAGTCAAGGGGTTTTGTGTCATCTCTTATTTACGTACTGATGCTGCCTTGGAATGTACTCTTTGCCATTCTTACTCCGCCTGGCGACTACTTTGGTGGCTGGGTCTCGTTTGTCATGTCGCTCGTCTACATTGGCTTCCTCTCGGCAGTGCTTGGTGATCTGGCAACTGGTATGTGCCTGCATCTGAAATCTATCCTACTTGGCCTTTCAGGCCCTGGAGGTGCCTGTCTCGCATGACCGCCAGACGAATACTCAATGCGAGCCTGTCATGTTTCATGTTCGATGTATCATAGGTCTTGGATGTGCTATTGGGCTCAAGGACACGGTGACAGCCATTACACTGGTTGCTCTGGGCACATCTGTCCCGGATACGTTTGCGTCCAAATGTCCGTACCTCAACTTACAACAGGCACATTTTCTTCCCCCGTTCTCGCTCCTGGCAATTTGGTGTGTCGCCCAACCTCATGGCCTTGCGACTGCAATCGTTCTCCGGACTCACAGACGCAGCCGAAAACGATGGTGCTGATCCCGCCATTGGCAATGTAACTGGTTCCAATGCTGTCAACGTCTTCTTGGGCGTTGGCTTGGCCTGGCTTTGCGGGTGCGTCGCCATTTTCAAGCGCACTTGCATCCGCCCGTTGTCTCGTGTCGTACAGTACACGCTCACTCTATTCATGCAATCAGGTCCATCTACCACGCGAGCCAAGGCACCACCTTTGTGGTGGCAGAAGGCACGATCGCCTTCTCGGTCGTGCTCTTCTCCATCTTTGCTCTAGTATGGTATGCCGTTCTTATGCTCCGTCGTGGCACGGCGGCTGTGGGTGGTCCACAATCTCTGCAAGGGGCTGAACTGGGCGGTGCTCAGCCTTATCGAAACGTAACGACGGGCCTTTTCGTGGGCATGTGGCTCCTCTACATCATCTTGTCGGCATTAGTAGCCTACGAGATTATTCCCGGTTTTTAAGCACCATGAGTTGTCATCCTCGCTCTCGGTTTTCTGTCTTCCCCATCTTTTGATCCTTGCTTTCCGCCCCCCCCCCCCCCCTTTTTTTGTCATGCCGATTTTTAGATCATGTTGTTTCAAGCCAGGGACTTGTTCTTCTTGTTCCTAAGCTAGTTTGTTGGCATTGATGTTTTCTATTGGTTCCAGAATTCATAAGCGACTCAAAGTTTCACAATGTCACGAAGGAAAGATTGAGGACGCGTTGTTCCTCCATTGGGCAAGCAAAAGTATTCAGAGGCCAAAGAACTTCAATACCCAGTTGTCCTACGATGGCATCTTGTCGTCGCCTAGACAGACCCCCTGAGCTGAGCAGCGTCCACTAAGCATCCAAAAGATCGGCATCAATCATTTCATCCAAGACTAGCTCGTCCTCCAGAGATTTGACCATGTAAGGGCCTTCCAGCTCATAGCCGAGCTTGCGATAGTAGTCACGGGTGCCCACGCCCGAGATGACAGCCAATTTGCGGCTGCCATGTTCACTCTTGGCGATGCGCGCAGCCTCCTCCATCAACAGGGTACCAAACCCTTGATGCTGGAATTTGCCGGGATCTCGCGATTGCACCGGCACAACCGAGCCGTACACGTGCAGCTCACGTACAATCGAGCATCCATCCTGCAGGGTAACAAAACGTCGGTGCACCACACATGGTAACGCCGGGTGAAGGGCAGGGCTGTTGACTACGGCTCTTAAGCGTTGGGCGCCATCCCTTACCTTGAGCTCGGGACGATAGGTTTGGTCAGAGCATTTGCGCAAGCGCAGCAAACCAATCAAAATGTCTTGCTCTGGATCCTCGTACGCCAAAAATGTTTCCCAACCACCATTGGCGTAGTAATCACGACGGATGAGTTCAACCTCAAAGGGACGCACGCGGTGATGGATCTCCTGGATGCCCACTTCACGCGTGCGCACGTCACGGCACTGCATGAAGGGAGAAGAGGACAGGACACAGGAAATGAGCAAACTCTGACTATCCGACGAGTCGCAGACTGACGGTTGTATCCGCTCACCTTGGTGCCCAGCTCCTGCATGCGCGCCAGAGCATGCTCGCGCAGGTTGCCGTGCTCGACGCCAGAGGACACCAGAGGCATGGGAATATCTCTGTCCATGCATAAGGAGTCGATCGATGTGAGTTTTGGCCGAATTCTCTGGCTTCAACTTAGCTGGCCCGCCAAAGAAAGGGGCGGGCGTTGAACATACCGCTGAACACGGTACACGCGCGTCCACGGCGGGACAAGAGCAAGAATCTGGGCCACCAAGTCCACGAGGACAGATGGAGGGTAGGATTTGTAGCGACCCGTCTTCCAAAGCTCATACAGGCCCGTGCCGCGAATAACAAGGGTGGGATAGAGCTTCAAACCGTCGGCACGGAAGGCGGGGTTCTCAAAAAACTCGACAAATTGTGCAACATCGCGCTCGAGACCCATGTTGGGCAGATCAGGCATCATGTGTGCCACGACCTTGAAGCCCGTATCCTTGGCTCCATGGAAGGACTCGCTAACTGCCTTGACTGTGTGGCCACTGATTACGTGCGCCCATCGCGCCACACCGCACAAACGAGATACGTGAGTACAGCAGCAGAGGCAGGGACGAATTTTCTGGTGGGATCACAGAAAGAGGAAGGTGCGGATGATGGAGACAGCATTGTGGCGGCCGTACCGATTTGTGTCGCGAGCAACATCTTCGAATACACTCTGAACGCCAATTTCAAGGCGAGTGCAGCCGTATTCGAGCATGCTGTTGAGGTGGGGGCGTAGGCAGTAGTCGGGTCGTGTCTCGATGGTGATTCCAATGCACTTGGTGCGGCTACGTTCCGAGTACTCGACGGCCTCCTTGACATTGTTGCTGGTATGGCCGGAAAGCGCATCGTGGAGATTGCGGATAAAGTAGTCGCGATACTCAGCATCCAGCGCCATAAAGGTACCGCCCATCACGATAAACTCAACCTATCAGTTTGGTAGATGAAGTGGAGCGTGAGTGGCGAGGATGAATTCAGATTCGCGGGATGCAAGGGGCTGTGCAAACGCACCTTGTCGACGCTATGACCGAGTGACTTGAGCTGCTCGACACGATGGCGTGTCTGCAGGTAGGGGTTGTAGCGGGCGCGAATGGCACGCATCGAGGTCGGCTCGTAGCCGGTGTAGGACTGAGTTGAGTATTCAAAGTCGCTGTCAGGACCACCGGGGCAGTAGACGCAGATGTTGCCGGTCATGGCAATGTGGGGGCAGCGATGAGGCTTGCACATGACCGCGACCACGGCAATCTGCAAAGGCACGGCGGCGGAGTCGTGGGCCGCAAAAAGCGCAAGGTTTGGGGAATGGGGAAAATATGAATATCCTGTCAAAACTTTGGATGGTGAGGCCGACAAGACAACGTGCAGTGACAACGTACACCCGAGGCCGTGCGCACAGGTTTGGCCCGAAGCTTGGGCAAGAGTTCCTGGGCGGGGCAGTGAGTTTGAGGGGTTTGCCTGGGGGTTTGATGAACATGACTGACGGGGGAGGGGCTCGCACCTTTTTGTACTGCGCGGGAACGGCGGCAATGATATCAACCAAGCGCGGTTGGGAATGAAGTTTGTACTTTGAAGCAACGCGCTGCTTGAGTCTGCCAGGAGATGGTGTCGTTGATTAGAGACCCGAGCGAGCGAGGTGAGATGCGAACGCGCTGCCAGAAGCGCGAGAGTAAGCCGGTGTTCAATAGACGATGCGAACCGACACATACGCGTTGAGATTGATATCATGTTTGTTGTCATGAGCACGCACGAGCTCCTCAACCACCTCGGAAACGACCTTGAACATGCGCTCCTGGGGCGTGCCGAGGTTCTCTGCGAGCCACAAGGTGATGGTGAACATGCCGCCCCGAGGACGCCCGAAAGAAAGCATGCCGTCGACGAAGCAACTCTCTTACTCTTGGAGTTTTGGTTCTTCCCCATGATGCCGGCTACAATCAAGACAGGACCAGACCAGCACGCCTTGTGGCGTCAAAAAGCAGCTCACCGCCTTGCCGCCCTCTGGCAGCAGGCAGGGGGAAGAAGGCAGAAGCAGACGAAAGAAGGCAGGAGCCAGCCAACGAGCCGCGTCCGCGCGACCCAAAAGCCAAAAAGACGCAGGAAAGAAAGACAGAGAGAGACAAGAGACAAGAGACAGAGACAGAGACAGAGACAGAGACAGAGACAGAGACAGAGACAGAGACAGAGACAGAGACAGAGACAGAGACAGAGACAGAGACAGAGACAGAGACAGAGACAGAGACAGAGACAGAGACAGAGACAGAGACAGAGACAGAGACAGAGACAGAGACAGAGTGATGGCAGAGAGAACGTGGGTTCCACAGTCACAATTGTCTGACATTTCGACTCGTGTGTGTGGTGTGTTCATTAAAGTCTTTTTTTATTAAATTTTTATTTTTTTTTAAGAAACTGACTGTGAGCGCATGATGGCGTTTCGAGGGTTATGGCGGTCGCGTCTGTGTGTGCCAAGGGCACACTGGCTGGTGGAGGGTCTGTCGCGGCGAGGTGCAAATGCACATGGTGGTGTTCGAGGACTGAGTGCCAGCATGGCGCAGTACAAAGCGGCTCGGGGGCCGGATGAGGATCCAGCCCCGTCGTCGTCCGCCGACCCTGGCCCAGAGCGTCATCACCAGGTGGCTGGTCTGGCCGAGGCGGCCCATCGCCAGCTCCAGCAAGCACAGACTGTGACAGAGCTACATCAAGCCATCGATGCTTTTCGTGCAGCTGAGGTATGTCTCTGAGCTCGCATCGCTGAGACTCGACGCCGCACCTGGACATGCTTCTCACTCTTCTGGCTGTTTTCGCGGTAGCCTCAACACGGTCACGTTGCGTTTCTCAATGCGACCATGGAACGTGTGGCCGAAATTGACGAGCCCTTGCCCCTGGCCACCTATGATAACCTTTTGAACATCTTTCCCAAAACTAACACGTTTGTCTCTCACGTTTAACTGCGTCTGTGCGGTCGTGTCATCCGTGTGCCTACACGCCCTGACCCCCTTCTGCGGACTTGCTGCCTCCAGATTCAAGACATCCTCGCTACTGGATGCCATTTGGCCACGACAAACTCTTCAGGGCGAGGCAGCGCTGCGCGTCCTCAACCACATGGAGACGGATGGCCTCATTCCGCAAGCAAGCACACATGCCATTTTGCTGCGCGTACGACCCTTTGTTCTCTTGAGTCCCTTGCCGGCCCTTGGACCACCGCTGCGCTTGCCCATGATTGAGTGCTTGCCCTCACCATGCGGGCTCGTGATGCTGGCTCATACTCGCTTGAAAGACTTTTGGCGCTGCATCGGCACCGGTTAAAAAGGTCACATACATGGCCTATTGGATGCAGCGTTTCTTTGGCAGCAACCCCTTTGCCCTGCCCTTGCCCCTGCCACAGACAGATGAGGCCTGGCTGCATCTTGCTTTGCGTCGCTTTGCCGGCAAAGATGCCACCGTCCATGGTTAGTACACAGCACAAAACAACAATGGGGCCCAAATTGGTATGCATTTGCTCCGCTTCAATCTTCCCGTTTTGATCTCACAAAGTGGGGCGAGGCCTGTTTGCTCAGAGGTTGAGTTTCTAGATGGGGCCGAAGAGCCACAGATTGGTTATTTTTCAATAACACCGCCCCAGCAAGAGCTGCTCGAGTCGCTAAGGTAATTCATACACCTCGGTCCACATTGCGCGGGCAGGTTTGGCCAGGCGTTTTGGGCTCAATAATTATTTTTGCTTTGCCTTAAACCCAGGCGCACGGCTGAGAATCCCTCGCTCGCTCTTCCTCAATTGGTGGTTGAAGGGCGCCAACGAGCCTGGATTTCAGGCCGACGTCATCACTACCTCACACTGGGCTTTCGAGATGATGCCTCTGGACATGGTGCGTTCGTCCCGGCTTGCCCCGACCTGTTGGCTTTCATTGACCCGCCAGAAGAGGCTCGACTCTCATTGTCCCTGCTTTGGCCAGAATACATGCTCGGCATCGCTAGCTTTGAAACTCCCCGCCGACCTCCCCGACCAGGAGCTCATACTGGCCACCTTGGTGCCGCTGCGCCCTCCTCCAAGGATGATGCCGGCCGCACCAACACCGTCGTCGATCGCGACATTGAGACGTGGCGCCGGTTTGCTGACCGCTGGATGCGCCAGCTGCAGCGCCTAACCCAGCACGAGTGCCAAACCATGATTCATCTCCAGTAGACCCTTTTCCTATTCAAACCTCACCATGGACCTTCCTGAAATTTTATTCCTTCGAATCAAGTTAATGCTTAATGCCTTGATCGGATCTCGGATGATCAAATTGGCAGCCCATGCCTATCGAAGCCACCGTACAAACAAATCATTTCACCTCATCCCCAATACACCATCCAACCAAACCCCTCCGATACATGCACCGAGCCCACTACCACGACCGACCGATTTCCAACATTAACAGCTGCGTGTGTGTGTGTGTGTGTGTGTGTGTGTGTGTGTGTGGGGGGGGGGGGGGGGGGGGGGGGGGGGGGGGGGGGGGG